TTTCACTACCACCCTCAACTCCTGCCTCCAAGAAATGTTCATGAAAGAGGACTGTCAGCCCAAGGAGGCGTAAATTCCTTTACACAGCTGATAGATTTCTGCCCCACTGACATGGAAGCCAGATACTAACACTGACATGGAGAAAGCCTGAACCCCGCCTCTGAGCTCTTCATCCCTACCCTACCTCTTTCTTTGCTCAAAATTGTCTCCTCTTCCTCCCTAGGTGGGTGAGAGCTCCCCCAGTGGCTGTTTATGATCCGTGTTTTGCAAAGGGACATATTTGTTTTGGAGATCTTCACTGCTTTTTACACTCAAGTTCTGTCATTCGAGTTTGTTATTTAAGATTTCCAAAGGTTAGCTCTGAAACTCAAAGCCGATTCCTGGCTCCTCTGTTCTAGGTGGTGGCCAACCCCCTCTTGAAAGGATAAAGGCCATTAATCCAAGGAAAACAAGAATGAGACCTGTACAATATGGAAATATATTTCAGAAAGTAACATATCTGTTACAAGTGACAATCACCTTAAAATAAATAATTTTAATATTCCTTTAGTCATGGTTTAAGAATCTATCTCTGTTTATATTTAAATATCTATATATCCATTTTGACATCTGAGTATGTGTGCATATCTATATACTCATGCATATATCAATATACAACATTCTGTTTCATAAATGTAATATGATTTGCCAACTAAAAATAATATCAATTTTAAAGTAATATATTTGTTGTGGTGATATAAATACAGCTTCAACCCAGTTCCCTGTTATACCTTGCATATGTTTAAGAAAAGCAAACTAAATTTCTTTAAATAATTCTAAATTAACCTAACACAGAATTTAGCATATTGTACACACTGACATATTGAATAAACGAGTGGGTTACTTTATCATGAAGGTCATTTAAGTTAGGCATTTTGAGCAGGGATACAACATAAGATTAGTGTTTTATTTTAAAAAATATGGTAATGTTGTAGTAAATGAATAGAAAGAGAATGAGATAGGGAGCAACCGTAGTAACATATTCTAAACATACTCTAGAAAAACTACTGGAAGGCATTCCTTTTCAATGATCCCCATACTCCAAATACTTAGACTTTGCACTGAACATATGATCATTTTCCAAGTCAGTTTTTTTTGTTTTTTTTTTTGTTTTTTTTTTTTTTTTACACTGGGTCTCAGGTCTGTCACCTAGGTTGGAGTGCAGTGGTGTGTTGTTCTGGCTCACTGCAGCCTCCATTTCCCTGGCTCAAGCCATCCTCCCACCTTAGCCTCCCAAGTAGCTGGGACCACAGACCTGTGCCACCACAACCTGCTATTTTTTTGTGGGGGTGGTGGGTAATAAGGGTTTCTCCATGTTTTCCAGGCTGGTCTTGAGCTCCTGAGATCAGGCAACCCACTCACCTCCACCTTCCAAAGTACTGGGATTACAGGCATGAACCACTATATCCATCCCCAAGTGTGTTTAAAGAAGCAGCAATTATGCTTACCTTCACCCTTTAAAAAGACCTAAGAAAAGTTGGAAGTAATTCACTCTGTATTCGAGTTCATTTCTCACAGGAGGTAGGCAGTTGAATTTTCCAAATGATTTATCTTTATTTTTATTTTATTTTTTTATAGTCTCACTCTGTCACCCAAGCTAAAGTGCAGTGGCACAATCTTGGCTCTCTGTAACCTCCACCTTTTGGTCTCAAGCGATTCTCCTGACTCATCCTCCTGAGTAGCTGGGACTACAGGTGCATGCTACCATGTCTGACTAATTTTTGTATGTTTAGTAGAGATGGGGGTTTCACCATGTTAGCCAGGCTGGTATCGAACTCCTGATCTCAGGTGATCTGCCTACCTCGGCTTCCCGAAGTGCTGAGATTACAGGCATGGGCCACCGTGCCTGGCCCAAATGATCTCTTTACAATTTAGCTTAGTAATTTGCTTTATATTCCTTATTCAGAGTGGGTACAAGAATTGTCAGTTTTAGGAATAGCAATCTGGGGTCTTTATGGTTAACGAAACATAGCCCATAATCCACTCCTGTTTTCAGGGTGAAAGACTAAAGAGAAGTTAATATAAGACTTGCAGAATCCTGTGATCCTGTGTAACAAATTATCACAAATTGAGTGGCTTAAAACAATACCCATTTATTGGCTCACAGTTCCAAAGGTCAGAAATCCAACATATTCTGGCTGGGTTTTCTGCTGAGGGTCTCATGAGGCTAAAATCAAGGTTGTCCAGGCTGAGTTCTTGTCTGTAGCTGTGAAGCAAAAAAAATCCATTTCCGAACTTATGCTTGTTTTTGGCAGAATTCGGCTCTTTGGGTTTTTAGGACTGAAGTCCTTGCTGCCTTGCTGGCTGTTAGTTAGGGCTTGTCCACAGGCCCTAGAGACTGCCTATATTCCTTGCCTGTATCCTTTCTATTCTGAAGACATCAGTGATGTGCCAGTCCTCCTCCTGCTTCAGATCTGCATCTTCTCTGTCTTTGACTCCTGGACTAAAATTTAGGATACATGTAATCGATTAGGTAAGGCCCATGTAGATAATCTGTCTTAAAAATAACCTGTGTTATATAATAGAACCTATTGATGGAATAAAATCCATTATATTCACATTCCTGGGCATTATGCAGAGTATAGTCAACAATTTCAGTAGGATCTTTGGGGTGGCCTTACTAGTTTGTCTACCAAGTTGTTATTTGTTTTTGATTTTTTGTTTTTTTTAAATAGCAAGGTTGTAAGCAAGCTCTTGCATGGAACAACCAAAGCACTTAGGGGAAACACAGGGAATATATTATTTAACTAATATTTTGTTAGAAAACCAATTGTCTTTTATTTTTATTTTAATTTTTGACAGAGTCTCACTCTGTCATCCAGGCTGGAGTGCAGTGGTGTGATCTTGGCCCACTGAAACCTCTGCCTCCTGAGTTCAAGCGATTCTTCTACCTCAGCCTCCCGAGTAGCTGGTACTACAGGTGCATGCCACTATGCCTGGCTAATTTTTGTAGTATTAGTACAGACAGGTTTTTGCCATGTTGGCCAGGCTGGTCTTGCACTCCTAGCATCAAGCAATCCATCTGCCTTGGCCTCCCAAAGTGATGGGATTACAGGCATGAGTCACCGTGCCTAGCCAAAACTAGCACATCTTTTAATGAAGTTTATTTTCTAACATCTTGACCTTGACAGATCTCCTATTAATAATCTTTAGAAATTCTACTTGTGTGTGATTCATTCACTTCAAAAGGTTACTACCATTCATATTCCCAAAACAAAACAAAAACCCCAAAACAATTTTTTATCTATTATTGGGAATAGGGAAGGAATGGCTTTTACTGTTTGTATGAGAAAAAATAAGCAATGGCATATAGTTTATATGTAAATATCACCGGACACAGTGGCTCACACCTGTAATCCCAGCAGCTTGAGACGCCAAAGTGGATCACCTCAGGTCAGGAGTTCAACACCAGCCTGACCAACATGGAGAAACCCCATCTCTACGAAAAATACAAAATTAGCCTAGCGTGGTGGCACGCACCTGTAATCCCAGCTACTTGGGAGGCTGAGGCAGGAGAATTGCTTGAACTCAGGAGGTGGTTGCAGTGAGCTGAGATTGCACCATTGCACTCCAGCCTGGGCAACAAGAGCGAAACTCTGTCTCATAAATAAATAAATAAATATCAAGTCAAAGTGAATTTTAACGGTGAGGTCTTTGTTAATAAGTTCACTTGAGTAGTAAACTAAGCTAGCTTTCAAAGCTTTTTTGACTTTCTAGATTTAAAGAAGGAAAGTGGACAAGTTTAACTGACTCTACAGTTAGTGTCAAGGTTAGGGGAAGCCAGTTCTCTGCACAATATAATCCCCACTTCTCACTTCAGTTGGAGGTTTGGGGGTGATCAAAGCCATCCTCAGCTTCAGCAGTTTGCTTAAGAGACTCAGAATGCATTGAAAGCTGTTATACTCACAGTTATGGTTTGTTTTAGGAAAAGGATACAGATTAAAATCAGCAAAGAGAAGAAATAGGGTCTGGGGAGTTACCAGACACAGAGCTTGTGTTTTCCTCACTGTGGTGTCAGGATATGTTACATTGCTGGCATCGATGTGTGACGGTATGCACAGAGCATTGCCAACCAGGTGAGCTCTGTTGAGCCTTTGGTGTCCATAATTTCTACTGGACTTGACTACATCCTGTTGATACGGCTGACCTTGTCTCCAACCCCTTTTGGATGTTGGTGTTGGGCCGGTAGTTTTAGTTTCCCTTCTATAGGCAAAACTGATACTGCTGGCCCAAACCACCCATCGTAAATTGCATTGTTAGACTGTTCAGTGGCCAAAGCCTTCAGGCAAACAATGACACTCCTATGACATTTTGAGTTTTAGGAGATCACCTTCTCATAGCTGAAGACAAATGCCCATCTCTTTGGCCAAGGTGAATTCTTCACTCCCTTAATGGGGAGGGGAGGGAAGAGGGGAAGACGAAGACAGTATACTGTGTGTCAGGCAGCATGCTAAGCATTGTCTCCTTTAAACCTTTGAACAACATTATTAGAAAGAGACTGTAATTATCCTTATTTTACAGCCAGCTGGATTTGGTAAGATTAAGTAATTCATCCAATGCAATGTAAATAGTGTGGTGGAACCAGGATTTGGTAAGATTAAGTAATTCATCCAATGCAATGTAAATAGTGTGGTGGAACCAGGATTTGCTGTTAGCGCCACTCCAAAGGTCATCTCAAGCACTTCCCTGGGTTGCTTCCACCAAAACTGAAAGAGTATAATGATATGTATTACAATAACCATTTAGAAGCAATTATTCTCAAGAATTGAGTTTTCAGAGTAAAGTTGTCATTTAGATTTATAAGAATGTGCAGTGCTTCTTTAATAATGTAGGATATGGAGGAAGAAGGTTGATATGTGGATGGTTACTTCATTGAATTCGTACCTTCTGAATGGGATCCAGCCAGCACTGTACCATTTAATGAATGCAAACTCATATACAGGGGGTGTGTTATATTCCAGGTGCTGTGCTGGCCATTGGTGACCCAAAGATGATGAAAAATATGTTCCTGCCCACAAGGAGTTAGCGATCTACTGGGGTATGTACAATGTTTATTTTGTTATTTTAAATATTATGTTTGTTTGAAGTAGTATGTAGAGAGAATTTGGCACAATTTTTTTTTACCGAATGTACTAATGCTAAAAATGCTGATAATTTGGAGATTGTTGCTCATACAACCAAATCAATTAAAAACAGGTAGATTTCTGTAGTAATAGGGCAGATTAAATTAAAAAAAATGCCACTGAGACTTGTGTGTACTTCCTACAGCTGTGTGTATTTGAAGGCAAATAAGAGTAGACTAGAAATGCCAGCAAAGCACATCACACATAACAATGTGGATTTCTTCTTCACACATGTAACATTGACTATTCTGCTTTTTACTGGTTACTTTATTGATAACTGCTATCATTTGTCTTCTCTTACTTCATTAGTTCCTCCAATTGAGCAAAGCCTATATTGGGATAACATATGTCTGTCCTTCCTTAATGTTGATTTTTGCCAAAATATATATTTTATTTGAGTCATAATAAAAATTATAATAGTTTGTTCTTACAGTAAACCATGCAGGATGCCATGAGTAGTCCTGAAGAATTAAATATAGTAAATACAGTAAATATAAATAGAAAATACTATATTCCAGTGCTGTTTTCTGTCTTTTATAGCTTAATGTAGGGGAATAGAATTAGAAAATAAGAACTATAAATTGAACTTAATTTCCAGTAGTTCAAGAAAATGCTATACAACTCTAATAACGATGTATTTGGATATATTTAATAATTGTTAATACACTATTTAGATTAAACATCGTAACTGCTGAGAGTGCGGTTCTGATATTTTAAAACATGAGCACACCAGGAAAGAACATGCCTCTTTTTTTGTCAATATGATTTTAATTTTTAAAAGCATTTAATTACATAAACCATATCCATCATCTTTGCATAGATAAATGTTGTGGCAATGTTTTGAATGAACCTCTTGGTTTCCTGAAGAAATTATGGATACACTATAAATTTACAAATGAAAGGTCATTCATCAGAGTTATAAATATGAGTGGTTCCCATGCTGATGCCCATGTAAACGTAAAGTGGTTTAATATCTATTGGCTTTTGTGTATAGTTAGTACTGCAAAAGAATACAGATATTGCCATACTTAACATGGTGTCATAACATTGGCAAAGCGGTGTGAACAACATGCAATATTTTTTGAATAGCATGGCATTTCTTTGAATTACTGCTGGCAACAGAACATAAATCAGCCTTAATGATGGATATTGCAAAGATGTTTATTAATCTATTCATTTAATTTAAAATACTCACTGTTGGCATTTATAGAGCCAGCCCATAGGAAGTGGCAAGTACTTCTAAACCTCTGCAGTTACTTTCAGGGGCCCCACAATTATGTCAGCTAAGTCTGGTTGCAGTTCAGATCAGAATGCATAAAAATTATTTCCTACTAGTATCTGCTAAAGATATTTAAGCAAAATGTATTTTCTTATGTGTGTCTAAAGAAAATCTCAATTTGTTTCACCATTAAATGGATCTTACTCCATGGCTGTCTGTTCAAGTTCTCAGTTTTTAAAGCCTATTTTTCTTACTTTTTATTCTTTCTTCCTTCCTCTACCCCTTTCCTTTCTGTCTCTCTCCTTCTCCACTAGAAAATTATCCTGCGTTGTGTAAGCGTTGATGGAAAAGGACTGGAAAACTGACACAGTTGCTCTGTACCAAACTAATGAACAGCATATGTCATATGATTTTGATAATATGTAATAAGATTAAAGACAGGTAGGATGGACAGCAGTCAAGAGTACTGAGGGGAATTTACATTGGATGGGAAAGGTCAAAGAAAGTCAGTAACAGTTAATGGAAGGAGGAATCAGCTATGCAAATACTATGGAGTAGGATAGTATGAATGTGTGTGCATGCGCTTTATTAACATATGAAAAATTCAGGCACAGAGGTAACTTCTGAATTAAAATAATGTAAACATAATCCAATTTCTCTCCATCTCACATTCCACTAATACAGCTTCAGTTTCTGACTTTATTTGGTAGCAAGATGGTGGCAGGGGCCTTGCTTCAAATGTAGCATCCTCTCAGGCTTCAAGTCAAGCAGATAAAGAGAAGATGTCTTTCCAAGAAGCCCTATCAAAAATGTCTTTGTACTAATTTGCTCTGATTAGATCACTAAATACTCCTGTGCACCTCTCTTGGAGCAGAGAAGAGAATCACCTTTGTAATTTTTCATGCACTAGGTATTGGGTCTGTATCCCAGAAAGAAATGGGGTACTATTAATTGAAAGAGGCTGCATTAATGCCAGGTAGCCAAAAAAAAGTGGGTTGCTGCTGGAAAAATCACAATGGACACATACACATATGAAAATTTGCATATCATTCTAGAAGATTTTGGATTTCCTAGCAATCTCTGGGTTCCAGTATAAGAAACTCTAATAGTGACATTGGATCAATGCCTCCTAGAACAAACAAAAGCAGCATTGACACCCATAGCCATCCAGGATAATGAGCTGTTACTGGGAATATTTCCTGAATAAAGAGACAAAATAAGTATAATATGTAACGAGTAGTTTAAATGATAATAGCAAATTAAAAATAAAAGGAAGTTACATCGTTTTGTTAACTAAAGTGGAAATGAGTGGTTCAGCCTTGGGGGTGCTTCTTTGCTATTATTTGTATTAAAAAATGAGGCAAAATCTTTTATTCAAGGTAAGCACTTTATATTGGCAACATAAAAAGACATATTAGGAAAAGAGGTTTTCTAATGTTGATTCAATAGCATTTATTGCTATAGAAGCCTATATCTAAATCTCTTCAACTTCATTTAAAAAACTATTAACCAGTTCTATGAAAGTAATTTGTAAAGAAAATCATTTTCAATAATTATATCAAATTGTGTGTTGATTGGCTGATTTATTTTTCTTAGCCATATTTTATTTTTGGACATGTTGATGAAGTCACTTATTTTCTTAATAATTATTTTTGAGAAATTTATAAAGAATTGATAGAAGGTATAGGTCAGTCATAGGAAAACATGGATACTTTATTTAAGAAAATTATACTTTGTTCTGGAGTACATGTGCAAATTTGTTACATAGGTATACACGTGCCATAGTGGTTTATTGCACCCATCAACCCGTCATCTACATTAGGTATTTCTCCTAATGCTATCTCTCCCCTAGACCTCCACCCCTGGACAGGCCCCGGTGTGTGATACATCCATCTGTTCTCATTGTTCAACTGCCACTTATGAGTGAGAAGATGCAGTGTTTGGTTTTCTGTTTCTGTGTTAGTTTGCTGAGAATGATGGTTTCCAGCTTCATTCTTTTCCCTGCAAAAGACATGAACTCATCCTTTTTTTATGGCTGCAAAGTATTCCATGGTTGTATATGTGCCACATTTTTTTGTAATCTGGTCTATCATTGATGGACATTTGAAATGGCTCCAAGTCTTTGCTATTGTGAACAGCGCTGTAGTAAACATGCATGTGCATGTGTTTTTATAGTAGAATGATTTATAATTCTTTGGGTATATACCCAGTAATGGGATTGCTAGGTTAAATGGTATACCTAGTTCTAGATCCTTGGGGAATTGCCATTGTCTCCTACAGTAGTTGAACTAATTTACATTCCCACCAACAGTGTAAAAGCGTTCCTATTTCTCCACATCCTCTCCAGCATCTGTTTCCTGACTTTTTAATGATCGCCATTCTAACTGGTGTGAGATGGTATCTCATTGTGGTTTTGATTTGCATTTCTCTAATGACCAGTAATGATGAACTTTTTTCCGTATGTTTTTTGGCTGCATAAATTCTTCTTTTGAGAAGTGTCTGCCTACATGGTGATTATTTTTCTATGCAACTGGGGAGAAAATAACCTTTTAACAAGGTGAAGACAAGAGTAGCTCTCACTGAGATGGAAGTCATAATTATGCTTTATTTTTACATAGATTCCTTAGTTTCTTGAAAGAAGGAGTTAGCTTGGAATTTTAAGTTGCTTCACCTGAGCACAACAGGAGTTTTTCCTCTTGAGCAACTCAAAATATCACTCAAAAATGGGAAAGAATTCCTTGTTTGCCAGATATTTTTAAGGAGTAAATATGTTAAAGAAGGTACAGTGTGTCACCTTTTGTCTCTGCACAAATGAAAACCCTGTGAATCTAGCCCTGCTTCTCATGAATGGATAAACTTTTGAACCAAAAATCTTCCGTTATTACTAAAAGAAGTTGTTACTGCTCCTTAAGTTTAATACACCCAAGTTGTGGAGAAATGTATCATTTTTCCCCTACCAATTAATGCCACTGACATACAGCTATTAAGGGGGATGATCAGCTTTCAAAATAGTTCTGCAAAGGCCATCATGCGTCTGATTATGAAGATTAACATGTTATTTAAAAAATAAACGCTTTCCCCAAACCTCTCTTTGCCACCAGTTCTTGCTTCGACTGAGATGTTCATGGATTTCTGATCATTCTGTGTGTATATAGATTTTGTTTAGTTTTCCTTTCTAGATTAAAACATATCTTTACATAGTGTCAACTATCTGTGAGTAGAAAACAGCAGGCAGTTCATTAGAAGAAAAGTGATTTACAGATTTTCTTGCTATGCATTCCTTTCTTTGAGTTTCAGTTCCAGTTTTAATTATAACCTGGCTAGAGAATTGCTTCTCTCCATAGTAATATCAGTCATCAATAGAGTCTGGAGGAAAAGTACATTTCTCACTTATATAAGGAATAAAGAACAAATTATATACATGAAAAAATGTTAAGTTGTTTTTCAGTTTTGGCTGACAGAAATCAATGGATATTTTTAAGGCTGTAGGTTAAGGCAAGAAGACTATGTCACTCCTGTAGTCCTAAGGACAGAAGATAAAGGATCAAAATATCATAAGAGAAATCCAAAACATATATTTTTTTTATTTGGTGTCCAATTTGGCTGTGTAGGTGTGAGTTTCAGATAAGATGAAATGCATTTACACATGTGAATTGTGCAATTATTGCCTGTTATTAATTTTATGGGCTTTTTAAG